TCTGCACCTACATATATGTAATGGGTTCTTTTCCTGACCCATACCCCCATCCCATTCCCAGCAGTTGTGTATTCTAAAAAGTCTAACTAAAACACAAACAGACAATCAAAAGCACAACCTTAGCCGAGTCGACAAATATAATGAAATTGATGAAATTTAAATCTGCCAATCAGCAGATATTGAAATGCAAATTGTGTTTATGTGTAAATGTTCCCTGCACTTGCAAAAAAAATTTGTGCATGTTATTTTCATGAAAATAAAACTTGGGATGTCAAAAACGGAGCTTGTCTTTGTGGAATAACGTGAAAAAGAAAATGAGAAAAGGAATATTAATAAAACTGGTCAAGTGAGTGTGAGTTTGTGTAAGTGTGTATGTGTGAGTGTGTATGTGTGAGTGTGTATGTGTGTTTGTGTGTGTGTGTATTTGGAAAAACCCACTGTAGGTGGAGTTACACACTGCTCTGTGCACTGATTGATGGCTGCTGTCCATGCAGGCCTACATTTGAGTGGATTGGAGTCATAGCACATGAGCAAACACAAGACGGAAGACTGAGAAACTCTCCACTACAAAGAATAGACTCGCTGCTCCGCACACACAAACTGCAGAGAGGAGCACACTCACTCACACATACACACACCACACCCACAGATCCACTTCCCCACCTCCAGTGCTTGAAGATCTACCTGCCAGCTGCTGCCAGTCGCAGGGAAAGATGGGCTTTGTTGGTTTTGTGAAACCCACCGACAAGACCCCCCTGGAGACTGCAGGTCTCCAGCAGCACAAGCCTCAGCCTTATCCACTCCGCCGCACAGGCAATCTGTTTTCTATATTACCAGTCTGTATCACTGTACTATGCACTATAGAACAGCAATTGAGCAGGAAATTAAGTTAGGGGATCGGTATTTGGCGGAGGAGAACGAGCTGGTGTGGTCTTCCCTCTCCACATACAAGGATCATTAAATATCACACGAGTTTCTTGATAAATTTCCTCCTCTCCTCTCTCTGCTGTTCTCATAAACCCACTCCCCTCTTGCTCCTCTCTCTCTCCTCTTCAGTCTGTCTGTCTCTTTTCTTTCTTCCTCAATTTCCCTCTCATCATTTGCCAGTTTCTCTCTCGTCTTGCTGTATTTGTAGTGAGTATGAAACAAAACATCCTAATGGATGTTTGAACAGCTTGAGATGTGTCGGCCTGGGAACTACCTCCCTGTGACAGGGAGCTCTGGCAGGGAATTGAGACCATTACAAGGGGAAAATAGGGGACATATTTCTTTCTTTTCCTCTTTGTTTATTTCTTTTCCTCTCACTGGGTCCTTCTGTGTAGTCCTCCCTCGCTTCTCTGTCTATTTTCTCTCATTATTTCTCTGTACATACAAACAGAGGACAGAATCCAAGGTTTTTTTTGGATCAGCAGATGTGGGGTGAACTTTTCTCCCCTCTGTCCTCTTCCACCTTTCTCCTATACAGTCTACTACAACTTATACTTAACAGTTTTCAGAGAGTGAGTGAGAGCGAAAAGTTAGTATATGACTGAGATAAACTTTCACTGAAGCAGTGGCAGTTCTGGTGAGATGAATGAACATTAGTGTGCACATATAATCTTAGACACACACACACACACACACACACTTTTTTTAACTCCTGTGTGAATTCTCAGTTTTACTTTCTAGCACAAAAGGAGTTTTTTGTTACTTTTATTAACTTCTTAATCATAAACCTCATTATCAAACTAATAATTAAGTTATATTTCAAATTACATTTAGGTTAATTTTGGGTTTTCAAATGCCCCAGATCTCAATTTATTAATGAAATGTATATTCATAGAAGACATTCATTCCATTGCTCCTTCTTCATACTTTTAGGAAAAACTTTATTTGGCAGTTTGAACAGACAAGTTGAGCACAGCACATTGTTTCTAAATACTTGAATTTCATAAGATTTAAATTTTTAATCTATCACCAAATTACCAAAGCACTTATTTGATCTTCATTATATATTTAGATTTACTGACATTTTGAGTTCCTGGCTCAAACTAATGTTTTTGCACAAACCCAAAAGCAGACACTGGCATTCCTGTGTTCATCCACAAACACAGCAGCAGACTCACAAGGACACATGCACAAGGACAGAGCTCTTAATGCAACAATCCAGGGTATCAGTAATCAGTAGTGTTGACAGCTAAATTAACAAGTGCAACGAGAGCCATTACTTTTGGCTCCTGGTTATGTAACAATGAATATACACCAATACACTGTCGGACAGATAATCCAATAAATCAATACCTATAAATAAGCAAATGAACAGAAAAAACATATATTGGTCTGGAGGTAAATTTATGGCCATTGCTGGCCACATGGAACGCACGCAGCACTCACGGCAGACGCTGTGGTCAGGTTAGTGGGAGGCCGTCGGAGAGATAAGGCGCCAAACAGGTCTAAATCCCTCCTGAAGCGGTCTTGATGGACGGACAGGCCACCATTAACAATGCGGTGGCTTGTGAGAGCAGCAGCTGATGGAAAGATACCCTGGCATTTGCTGTGTTAAGAAGTGGCCCTTAAAGATTTCACACTTCCAATTTCTTTGAATTATCTGCCATCTCCAACCTGTCACTCAGTCTGACAATCTCAGATTCTTGCTCACCGAGGCACCGGGGCTGGTTATTGACAAAGCAATCCGCCGTGATACAGCAAAGCCAGATAAAACATTAGTCAAACAACACGACGTGCAACTCTAGACCCACCTCGCAGATGGATGCATGCTCACACTGCTCTTTTCTCTTTTTAAATACAGTTCTCTTCATGTCTGCTAAAATAGATTGTGAATCACACCATAAACAAAGTATTTTCAGCACAACAGTGGATTTTCTTGTGCTAATTTATGCTTGGATTGTCAAATAACATAAATCAAAAAAATTGGTGTAGCTTAAAATCTCCTCCTTATGTCACGATGTGCTAAATTGTGGTTCACGGAGCAGAATGGATTTGTTGATGTCCACCTAAGGCCGTGGTGACAGCCAGTGATGTTACAGTACGACGCTGAACAGACTGCTTATCAGATCTTTGCTGGTCTGATTCGCTCAGCGCTGCAGACAGGCCATGATAGAAATATCACAACACCCCATTACCCTCAGCATTCGGTACATAGTGCACAGCCTGTGCTTTCCATGAATTATTAAAAGCAGACAGATTACGCTGCAAGGCTGGAAGTCTAGAGGCATGATACAGATGCTGCTGAGCAAAACAGTAACATCAGAAGTGTGTTTTTGTTCTTTTTTTAGAGGAGGGCGTCTCTTTTTTTATTTAAGGTCTGAATCAGATTAGAGAGGGTGGCTGTTTGGGTATGCGCATGGGTGTGTGGATAAGAACAAGGAAATTGTGGGTGGGTTTTGCACGTGTGTGTGTGTGTGTCAGCTGCAGAGGACGAAGGGGGTTGAAGGGCAAAGTGTCAGGGCTTGTCTGACATGTGGCCTGGTGGGTTGGCTGGATGCTTGGTTTGCTGTCTTGATGGCTGGTTGGGTGCAGTCAAGCTAAAGCCTGGCAAACCTCTCTCTCCCTCCTTCTCTCCTTCTCCCTCACTCTCCCTGGAGTGACGGGCTGAGACATTAAGACAGGCGTTTTAATTAACTGTGCCACTCTTCCACCTGCTGCCCTCAATATGCTCCGGCCCAGGCAAGCTGTCTCTCATACCACTGACTCTCGTGCGCTCTCTTTTTTTTTTTTTTGCTTCATCTTTCCATAATTTTGCCTGTTCTCTCCCCTTTCTTTCCACTTTGCAGGTCTTACCCTCCATCAGTAAGACTTGCACTCCCCAACCTCTCTTTTCAATCCCTCGTGCATCCCTCCGCAGTTTGACCCCAATAAATGAGAACTCATACCAATAGATAAGACGATTGCATGAGGCTCATATGACAGAATTAGCCAATTTCTTTTTTGAACTCAGAGAGAATTAATTTCTACATGTGTCCTGTTCTACTGACCCTCTAACTACCCCCCCTCCCCAATCCAACCACACACATGCACACACACACACTTCAAATCTATCTGGTAATTCAGTTCTGCTCGACACTCATCAGGCTATTCATTAAGGCCTGATTGGAGATGGATATTTCAGTTCCCTCATGACAGAATGGAGCTAGGGATCAAACCGGGGACATTACGGGATTTAGAAGAGCAGACGCAAAACACAGTAGCCTCATGAGTGTGTGTGTACACTCAACATGTCTCTGTGAATATGTGCTCATAAATGTTTGTATTAATGTGTGTAAATGTATGCCTGGTCATTTAAGAATCTCATTTAGTGCGGTGACTCCCGTAGTTTAATCATTTAAATCATAAATTGAGAATTAATTCGAACAGAATGGAGCAACAAATGATCCACTTTTAGCACTCAACTAAAATTGTATTACACTTTTAATGGGGTTAATAATAGACACATTAGCAACACAGGAAAACGACTCTACAAAGTGTTGTATTAAAAGGATTAATGTCCTCCCTTCAGAATTCTGGTCTTGGAGATACAGTTAAAACTAACAAATGGCGCGGCTCTGGCTCCATGATGGGGCCTCAGTTACAGGCAAACTACAGTAAGAAGACAGCAACAGGGGCCAATATATCAGCCGGGCAGAAAGGGAGCATTCATCTGCGGTGTAAGGAGAGGTGACTTTGAAGTTCTCCACAGTGAGGTGAAAGAGCAGCCGTGGCCTCAACCTCTGTGTTTATGTAGCCACACTAGCCCTGGGAGAGCTCTTAATGAATGATGTGGATAGATGGACACCGCAGCTAAAAGCTCACACTCACACGTCTGTGTGAGGGCCAAGACACACACCAAGGATTTACACATATTTTATGTGCAGGACATGTCAGCGTGTATTCCATGTCTGCATGTACCGAACAGAAAAAATGCATAAAACAGCAGGCAGAAGGTACTGGATTAAGTCAAGGCAGTAGATGCCTGCATTACACTGTGTCGCACTAATAGGTTTCAAACATGAGCAGGGACTTACCTGTAAGGAGCATGCTATGCCAACATCCTGCAGCAATTGCTCTCACTGGCGAGCTCGGTAGCGTCACTTCCTCTGGCGACAGGATGTTTTTCTGCATGTTCCCACATGCACGTCCACAGCCCCACTGGAACAACCTGCTGTCAGCTGCACGTCATCAATAGACAGATGGAGAGATGGGTACTTTAGGCATTCAGCAGCTTATTGAACAGTTACAAAGAAAACCAACACAAATGTGTAAAAGCAAGAATATACAGAAATATAGAAATAGAAAATTTAAAAATATAAACAGGAAAATATATAGAGGGAAACTGTACAGTTCCGCACATTGACCCAACAGAACCAGTTCATAAATGAATAGTTTTTGATTCAAGTAAAATATAATATAAACATTATTCCTGCTAAATTTTTCAATGCATCAAAATATCAATTCAGGAACAAAGGTCTTATCATGTAATGTAGGAAACTTATGAAAGAATCTACTGAAAGAAGATGTTTTGGACTCTGCGCAGTTCCTCCAATAATTACAAGGTAGAAGGGGGGGCACCAACCCCCTGCAGATGCATCATGCATCTCTGTGCAGCATGTTGTCCTTGTTGTGCTGCGGCTGCATGGGGCCTCTGGTGATAAATTATGGATGCAACGCAAAAAGCTGTAAAATTTGTTGTATCTTCTATTATCTTCATGTTAAAGGCCACAAAAGCTCTTCAGTGAAGTCAGCCATTAAGAAATGACAGGTATTGCTATCAGGCTTCTTTATAGCCTATTACCTGCAATGACAGCAGCTGCTGCTGCACCACTGTACGGCCTATCACATTATTTGCAGCTAAAGTCAGCTACTGTGTCATTTCGCCTCATTTTCTTGACAGTGCTATCATAAATCCATTGGGCTGCAGGGGAAACTGTCGACTACCTAGATTATCTTCATAGCCTGAATGAATTCTGAAATGTATGTAACAGGCAATGACTGTTATGGATCAGGAGCCAGGGCCATATTCTCACTAACTCTCTCTCTCTCCTTCCTTGTCTCTCTCTCTCAGGTGATTCGTCGATCGAGGGCTTGGGGGCTCGATACTCACATAAAATTGAGTGAAACAGGTGAACTTTGGAACGCACGGTGACAGCTCATGAATGGTGACGTCAGCTTCATTAAGTTATCATCTGGCTGATTTGTGTTGGTTTGTTTTCCACATAACAGACTAAAAAAGAATTTGGACTCTTTAGTAATATCTAAGTTTGGATATTTGTTTGCGGGGTCTAAGGCTGCACAGCTGAGGGTCAAAAGAGAGTGTGACATAGAAGGTCAAACATTTTTTAGCTGCTCATAGAAATAACTTGAGGGTTTGTACATTACACTTTTTTTCAAAGAAAATGTATTACTTGAACTTCCAAATATGACCAGCAATAGTAGCTATAATTCTGAAATGAATACATTTAACTGAGCAGTACAGTACTGTAGTTATGTGACATGTAGTTGCATGGTTTAGCAGTGTATACTTTTGTTTCTCTTTCAAATATTTGTATTTTTTATTAATGCAAAACTATAAATATGAAGTCATTATTTTATTTACTTTTTGCCAAACAATGTCTCCAGTGCATTTGTCTGGTGGGATGTTTTCTAAGTTTGGTGGTTTTCTATATTGAGGCTCTGTATTTTGTCTTTTATTTCTATACTGATATGGACCTCTGACTCTGAAATAAAGTAAAATATAATCCATATATATAGTTAAATGATAGGATCCACTTCTTATAGAAGGTTACTTTTACAGGGCATACTGTTGATAACGATTAAAAATGTTTGTAATTTTTTGATAAGGCAAATAATTCAATCAGAATTATTCAATAATAACATTTATATTGGGTGTTGTGTACTATAGAAAGCAAGAACAGTGCATTACTGTACCTGTGAGTGCAAGATTGTGGTTTGCACCACAGGTGACCTTCGACACGCGGCCCACACACTCCACAAAGCGAGGGATGACCACATTTTCATTAGGACCGCTGCCAACTTGTCCATAATCATTCTGCCTGTAGGGAGAAGAGTATAAACACATAATTAAAGACATAATTAATTACCTGTGGGCATTGTCATCATCACTCACTCTTATCACATTTTAAACTATACACAGCACCATTTCAAAGCATTAGAATATCGCACAGCTTTCAGTTTCTATAGGGTAAAATAAATAATCAAGTCAATTAAACTATTGCGGTGAGCCGGTTCCACTGGGGGACTGTGGAACATATGCGTTTTCCCCCCAATTCTTCGAATCCTCTTTGTGACAATAACGAGACACGGCCCTATCAGAAGTGAAACACCTCACTAACTAATTAGACTCTCAGGCTGCAGTCTGACAAAATAAAAAAAAGAGGAAAGTGCTTGAAGGAAGACTTGCTCTCCCGCAATTTGCATCTGCCACTTTTTACTGCATCTGTTCCAAGTGCCATTCAATGCTTTCTTCCTCCTTTTGTTGAGAAGTGTTGAGCCCCAACTATTTAAGCTCACCTCCTACCTACCCGGTGCTTTGTTCCTGCTCCTCTGCGGACCAGTAATGAGCCAACCGCCACAAAACCGCTAGGAAATTATGACTCATTACCAATGGGGTCTAGACCGCTCCGCAGCCTCTCCTATACTCCCCCACTCCACCCTGCATGCCCACGTGTAATCCTCTCTCTCCTTCTTTCTCTTACTCTCATCCCTTCAGCCCATAGAGAAAGACCCCAACACCTCCCTATCAATTAGAGCCTATTACAGGGCTCCCATGCTAGCAGGGCAAAGAAAGAGGGCCTTCACAGCTCAAGAGTGTGTGCAGGAGAGATTGGGAGAGTTGAATGAGGAGCCTTAAGGTGCTCCTTTCACACCCCTGCCCTTATCCATTATGCCAGTCTGTAGAGCTGCCTCGGAGAAACGTGCAGCCCCAAAAAGACTCGGGGATGAAAATAAGTCAAGGGAGGGATTCTTGGTCACACCTTTCCCCCTTTCTTTCCACTCCAGTGTCAAATTATATCATAACTAGTCCTTTAGAGAAGCAACATGGTCACTGTGCTCCTCCTTTGTATGGAGTGTTAAAAAAAGATGACTAGATCTGATTGGTATGTATAAATCATCCCATCTCTGTGTATTCATGGATATGACGAGCTTCAACACACACGCACTCAAAAGCACACGCACACACACACACAAAGGCCTGATGTGCTATGCATGGGCTAAGTGCATCAACCTGTGGTATCTTTGTGCAATGGCTGCAGGGGCCACAAACCAAGAAATTAAGCAAACAGGCTTTGCTACGTTAGGGTTGGGAACAGTCCTGAATGATAGGGCTCACCTTACACTGCTGCTGTGAGGAATACAGATATGAAAGGTTTAGTTGAGAGTCACTAATGAGCTGTTTTATCCCACTTAACAACATGGTTTAGAGATAAAGCTAATGGTGTGCAACCATTTGATAATCCACATGGTAATTGATTTCTTTAAGTTTCATCCTCTATCACATTCTCCCCTGGAAAAACTACTTATTCATTGGACTGTTGGTCTTTGTTTTGGAGCAAATTCTGTTCTACATTGCAAGCATTTTAGAATATCATTTTTTCCCCCGATAGGATATGCATCAGCTTTTCATTCAAGCAAGCCATGTTCATTGGCTTTTGAAGCTACGGCGCGTTTCAAGGCAATCCCTCTGAGAGTGAATGGGTGAGATCACATGGGTTTGAGGTGGTTTAGAATGGCAAATCCTGCTGAAAGTGTCATTTCCAGTCGGAGACATCAATTTGGTGTGTGAAACAGGGCCCCGGGAGAGCGCGATAGCCTGGGAGATTCTTCACAAGAGCAAAGGGCCTGCGGATCAGCTCGTACTCACCTGGATAAGATGGGAATCTCACAAAGCGCCCTCAAATACACGGAGCAAAGTGAGAGCGAAGGAAGAGAGGAAGAAACATGAGAGACGACTCAAAAAAGAAAAGTGCAGAGAGCATGAAAAAGGCGAGAGCATGTTAAATATCACTTCTTCTGCAGTTTATGATGAGCCTTTGAATAGCACACAATGAGTTATAGCGATGCTATTAACCTCATTTGTTCTTTAAAGGTTATGAAAATCTTAATTCATGCCAACAAGAAAAAAATCCAAATTAAAATCTCTTATTAAATAAGAAAAGAAGTGAGGCAACTACTTGTCCTCCTTGACTTTGATACTATTGTATACAGTCGTTGTTTGCATTAGTAAAAAATACACAAAACAGGCAATGACCTCCATCTGTGAGGGTTGTCAAAGCCCATAAGTATGGTTGATAGGGATATTAAAATGCTGACATGCACAAATAAAAATCTAAATTACTGGCAGGACCATTTCTGGCCAAACATTTTGATAACTGTATAACAGTGTACGTAGGCAGCAGTATTAACTCTAATATAAAGCCTCAATTAGCTTAAGTGAGAGCAAAATGGCTGATAATTATTGCACCAACTCATTAGACTTGTTTTGACACTAAAACCACTTAAATCACCGCTCGGGCATAAACACCAGCACAGATGCAAATACACACATGCAGATGTTAGCGTTTATTTCCATCATAATGAGGCAGATACTGTACAGGTTGGGTTTTACTTGTTTAGACGAAAAAGCTAAACACTTCAAACTAGATTTAATGGGGTCTCGCCATTACATGGGTAATTTATGAATCGGAATACGGGTGGTAAGTTTCATGAACTGATCCCCCCGGGAAAAACAAATGACAAAGGGTAGTCAGGAAGCGCACACATCAAATGCACACATTAGGCCTGGCTATAAAGACACATGGTTACTTTAGTTTTTTACCTCACAATGGGCGCTAAATGTAGCCAATTTAGCACAAAATATTAATGTGCTTTTGAGTATTAAGAATATGGACCTGGATATAAACCAAAAATACAACCCTCAAGAAAACTTGACCCAAATTAAACTTGTGAAAACATTATCTATGAAGTGGCAAAGAGTGCAAAAGCAAGGAAATCCTCTCCTGTGCCGACTATACATCTTGGCTAATAATGATACAGACTCCTTAGGTATAAAATCCTTGGGGCCGGCCATGAAAGTTTAAGATTCAATGCGGTAAAATACAATGTGCCATAAAATATTAATGCATGTGGTAAAATTATGCTGGTGGTAATATTTTAGATTGCTGCTGTCTGTAAAAGAGGCATATATGTATTTATTTACAAGCAGGGATAGTGGATGGGGGCTTTGTTTGAAGCCATGTTTATGAATATCGACTCAGGCTCCTAGGTAAGTGGCTATAAATCTGTGAGAGGATCTTTGTAAAGTTCCCTTGGAGGACATAACTTCAGGTCTAACCGCCTCCTTCCTTCACTTGACTTTTAAACATTTAGATGAAGCCCGGCCAACTGCATTTAGAGCAGCTTCTAAATTACGAAGGGCTCATTTTTGAGAGTCCGAGTGTTAACCAATCAAAGTTGATAAATTGTGGCGATAGATTTCTCCGGGACAGAAACAGAGGTGTGTTTGGCCCTTGATCTGGAGTGTTTATGAGTTTGGGGAATACTAAAGTGGATCTTTGCACAACCTACTATGTTCCAGATGTTGACTTAGACGTACTCAACGGAAGATGCCCTAAGACCCTGGAGATCCACACAACACACCCACACTCCTTTAAACATACTCACACCAGTGCTGCACTCTTCATTACCTCCCTCCAAGTATGCACATGGTGTTTAACTTTACAGCATCTTCCTCCTATGCTAGTTTCTTAGAATAACATGAAAAGTGTAAACTACGTGAAGCCATGAGCATGACCTGTGCTAATGAGAGGTGCATTACTTGTTGTATGATCAAAAAAGATGATGTATTGTACAGCTCATTTCACCTTAGGCTATCAAGACCAGCTGGCAGGAGTCCTATAGGTCCGCAATGGATGAACCTTTCACATATGACTCATTCACAACTTTTTTCTTTGTCCTCCAGCGCCATATCTTTGACATGTTTATCTATTTATTTTGGTTCAGTGTTCCGAAGTTCAGATCACATGGGTGATTACATTAGTAACGGTGCTGCAGTTGGATGAGCTGGTGAACGATGGATGCAGAGATCTGTGTCCTCTGGCTATGATGATCACATCAGAGCCGGGATTAGGAGAACTGATTTCTTTTCCTGGCTGAGTTCAAAGGGCTCAATCAAAGTGGTTCACTGCTGAACCCCTCCTACACACACACACACTTTAAATGCAACTTTAACTTTAAGGTGCTGATAAGGTTGAGCTCTGTGGACATTTTGTTTTTCTGCCTGGTGATGGATGCAGCAAGAGTTGATGTCACTGCGCACTAATAAACGACTGGAGAGCTGCATTGATCCAACCATCTAATTCCAAGAAAATAGCTGCCTCCTGAGCTAAATTGGAGAAAATTGACAAGCTCTCATTAAAACCCCACCTCTCTCTTCCACCCCTCTTCATTCTTACCTCATATTTTCATTTCTTCCTCCCCAATGTGTCTCTGGCACTCACTCGGGGCTAATCCTCGCAGCCTCTTCGTTTATGTAGGCCGCAGACTTCTCTTTCTCACCATTTCTGTCCCTGACACTAGCTGACACAGGGTATCAGTTCACACCCTGAACACACAGACTGAGGTGCTAAACAAGGACTTAAAGATGTCACAGCACACTTAAAGGCCTTCACTGTGATACGGCCATTATGATGTGGCAGAGGGACAACATGAGAACATGTTTCATACATATGCATAAAATAAAATAGAAGAAGAAATGATCTGGGTGCCATGTTTCCATCCCTGCTGATTAAAACCCATATCTACTGCAGAGCTATTTGACCCGGGAGTGAATGCCGATTGTATCCATTCCCATTGCAGTCAAAAGACAGATGTTAGTCATTTTTTGACCTGTGGAAAAAGTGCTTAATGTTTTATTGTGGTTATATGTCTAACTTACAGGTTCAGCTACACCTTTGCCATTTTCCATAAAAAGGTTTTCATGCTCACAATGGCAGATTTCATGGCATCTGATGTGGGTTTTGAATTGCAAAAGTCA